CCGGACGGGCCTTGAGCGCCGCAGCGCCGGTGATGAAGAGGCTACCCATCGCCGAGCTGGAGGAGGAGGAGGAGGAGGAGGAGGAGGCCGCCGCTGCCGTGTCGGGCACCGCTGCCCCCGGCCTTGCCGCCGCCACGGCAGCGGCTGCAGCGGCTGCAGCGGCCGCCTCGGCTCAGTCTGAGGCGCAGTGCGACGCGGCGAAGAAGCTCTTTGCGGCGGGGGCGTACGACGCGGCTGCCGACAGCTACTCTGCGGCCCTCGACACGCTCTCCACCACCCCGGGCGGAGGCTCTCGCTCGGACGACAAGCTGCGCGCGCGCTGCCTCAACAACCGCGCTGCGTGCCAGCTGCAGCTGCGCCGCTTCTCCGAGGCGGTCGCCGACTGCGACGCCGTGCTCGCGTTCGAGCCTCGCAACGTCAAGGCGTTTCACCGGCGGGCAGAGCAGAACCTTCTAGGAACCTTCTAGGGACCCTCTAGGAACCTTCTCTAGGCGCTTCACCGGCGGGCAGTCGCTCGCGAGGCGCTCGAGCGCTACGCCGGCGCGCTGGAGGATTGCCGCGCCCTCCAGGCTCTTGGAGCCGCAAGCGCTGAGGTCTCCGCTTCTTGCACGAGGCTCAACCGGCTCGTGGAGCAGCAGCGTGCGGAGGATTCGCAGGGCCGGGATGCGGCGGCTGCTCCGACCCCCGTTGCGCCGTCTGGCAGCGGCGAGGCGGATGCCGCCGCCGCGGCCGCGCCCTCGCTCACGACCGAGGACGATCAAGCGGCGGCGAAGGCGAAGGCGGCGGCCGCGCGCGAGCGGGGTGGCGCTGCGTTTCGGCGTGGCGAGTTCAAGGCTGCCGCCGAGGCGTACTACGAGGCTGCAAAGCACGAGCCGCTGGTGCACACCCACTTCTCCAACCTCGCGCTCGCGCTCCTCAAGCTTGAGGCGACTCGCCACCCTGTCCCGCACCCTCGCCCTCGCCACCGGCATCACACCTCCGATCGCGCTTCCTCACCGCTCCCGCCTGCCGCCCCTTCCTCCGCTGCCTCCGTCTCCGCCACTGCCCCCACCGCCGCTCCCGCCTCCTCCGCCGTCGCCGCCTCCTCCACCGCCTCTCCCCCCACGGCCTCCGCCACTGCCGCTGTATCGACCATCTCAAGGCCGCCCCGAGCCGCAACCCAGCCTCCCATCCCGGGCCCCGCCGCCCTTGAGCCCCGCCCCCTCCCGACCCGGCCGCAGGAACCGGCTCACGCTGTCACCGCCGCCAAGCGGTGCACGGAGCTGGCCCCCTCCTTCGCCAAGGGCTGGTTCCGTCTCGGTGCCGCTCAGCGCGCGAAGGGCAACCTGTCGGCGGCGTGCGACGCATTTGCCGCCGGCCTGCCACATGCCTCGCCCGACGAGGCGCGCGACCTTCGCCGCCAACTGGCCGAGGCGCGAAAGGCCCTCGACTGCGTCCCGGCGGGGATCGAGGAGGTGTCTCCCCTCCCTTCGCCCGCCTCGTCTGCGCCGGAGGCGGGGAAGCCGGCGCCGTGGGCGGCCGGCGGCGACAAGGCGCGCGGCAAGGTCGACTTGGCCAAGGCGGTGCAGACTGCCAAGCGCGTCGCGGAGCTGGCGCCGGCCACGCAGGCCGGGCCGGACGAGCTGCTGTCTCTCGGCTACTCGGCCTTTGAGCGCTCCTTCCTGCAGCTGTGGGCTCGCGGCAAGGCCTCGTCCCAGCGCGACACCGACCTCGCCGCGTACCTCGGCCAGCTCCCGCGCGATGCGCGCGGGCTCGCCGCCTTTGTCGGCGACGCCATGTCCGAGGAGACCCTCTCTGCCTTTGTACTTGCCGCCGAGCGCGTCATGCTGCCACGCGACGCCGTTGCCGCCGCCGCATTCCTCGGCCGGCTGGCGTCTGTGCGTCGTTTTGAGTTGCTCTGGATGTTCCAGGGAAAGGCCGAGTCGACAGCGGCGACCAACGTGCTGCGCGCTGCAGTTGCCACCAGCGGTGGAGACGAGCCAGCGCGCGAGGTTGCGACCAAGTACGGCGTCAAGCTCTGAGTCGGGGGGGGGGGGGTGTCGGCGCTCCGGCAAGCGGGGAAAGGGCGATGAAGAGCACCGATGACTGAGATCGTGAGATGGCAGTAAAGTACCACAGTCAACATGCCGGCAGGTTTGTGTTTAGTCTTTAGAGAGCCAGCGATTTTTAATGGGCCTTCGACAAATTCTTTTTCGAGGTCCACCCGTCATGCGGCAGGTCGGCTTGCTCAGTTGCTCTGGCTCGCTGGCATCGCTGCCACCGCGGTGGGTCACCAAGAGCTTCTCCGCGTGGCTGCGGAGTCATCACCGCGCGACGGCTCGCCACGCCTCACCCGGGCAAAAGGAACGATCGCGCGCCGCCGCCGCCCGCCTCGCCTTGCCTAAGCAACCCTCCACGCGAGTTCCGAACCGGGAGCCAAAAGCTCGGAGAAGCAGCTGAGGGAGATCAAAGCGGGAGAAGGCGGCACGGCGGCGGCGGCGCGGCGCCCCCCCATCCCCACGCCTCCGGGTCGTGCGTACCGCCTCCGGGCGTGAGTGTCCCCCCAGCGTCTGCTTGAGAGCAGACGCTCCGGTAATCAGGCCGTGAGTACCAGGCAGGAGAGGGGAGAAGAGCCCAGGGTGGGGAGAGGAGAAGAGCCCAGGGAGGGGGGAGGAGAAAAGAGCCCAAGGCGGCCTCCCTCTCCCTCCCCTCCCACCGGGCCTCCCTCTCCCTCTCCTCCCACCGGGCCTCCCTCTCTCCCCCGTCCCCCCAAGCACCGACAGTCTCGAGGGGCCAGCCGCTGGAAGGGGCAAGCCAGCGGCACGAGGGCTTCAGCCACACAGCTACCAAGGGAACGCGACCCACACAAAGCACCAAAGTTAGGCATACCCCCCGGCGTGGTGTCCCCCGCTATGTGTCGCCGTTTGTCGGGGCACGCTATCCTGTGCAGTCAGGGCAAGTGGGGGCGGGGCGGACAGCCCAGGAGCGTGCTCCTGGGACCTCTCTTCCCAGTCCGGGGGTGCGTCGAACCTTCCATCACCCTGGGAACGTCCGGGTGTTGGAAGTAAAGACTCCCTCACTCCTTCGAAAGAGTCGCTCCTCGCTTGATCATCGGCTGCTGTGACCTGGGTTCTGTCGCCGAGGGGTTTTTCTTTTACACTGTAAATTCTTTTACACTGGGTGGGCTCCTCAGGACGCCAACCCTTGTGTGTGTACGTATATGTCGCGTGCAGACGTCTAAGAACAAACTGTACGTGTAGAGTACTCGAGCACAGGCAGGGGTCCGAAATTCATTCACCGTAATTCGTTCTCCGGAAGAAAGAGAGCACACGCGAAGGAGAAAGGAGACGGGTTGCCATTCGTTCTATGTGTTGACAATGTACGCTGTGAATGGGCAGGACAGTCCATTTAGATCTAGGGTTCTGCAAGGTGCTGGCAGTGAGTATCCGAAGCAAACATAGTCGTACAGCAACACCCGGCACATTGCAACAACGTATGGCGTCGATGGTGGTTGTGCCGTCACATTCAAAAGCGTTTGCATTGCCAGACGTGCCGGTGAGCCAGCAGCCGCATTTGAGTGCACGTGCGAGGACTTCGCCGTGTAGTAGCGACGGCAGCCTCGGCATTCTCCGAATCCATAAACGTGCTCCTCGAATGCTGGCCACACAGGTGGTTTGGTCGCTCCGACTACTTTACGGCCCAATCGGTCCCAGTCCCGGGAGGCGTTCTCCAAACGTCCAATGAAATCAAACCCTGCAACATGTTCCACCGGACTGTTTAGGGCAGCCACGAGAAAGGCGCTCTGCGGCAACATATCTAGGTTTGTCAAGTGAACGAAGCATCGTGCTGATGCGTTGAAGGCGCCAGAAACATAGTCGCGAATGTAAGCCTGTGCTCGATTCAGTGAATGGACAGGCCATTGAAGGTGAGTCTGGGGACAGCGTTGCATCATCTCCTCGTCCTGTTTGATTCTGGGAGCGGCCTTGAAGTTGTAGTCTGAATACGCCGAGATGAAATGCGTAAACGGGTCACGCACAAAGGTGAACACAAACGGCCGCCGGCCGGTAGCGTTCGACTTGTCGTCCAGCTTTGCTAGATTGCCACAAAACCCTAAAGTGTTGACCTTGAATATTTCAACGTACACCAGCATCCTTCCTCGCCAAGTAGCCGTGCAGAGAAAATGTCTTCGTCTGTTCGCCTGATCGAAAGGGCCGAACAAGGGAACTTCATAGGCTCCTGGCCCTGCTCCCCCCCCGCCAAGATAAGAAGTAATGGCCGAGACATCCAGATCAAAGCCCAGTGCCTTTCCTGCCAGATGCCAGTGTGGGACGATGCCTTGCACATCTATAGGCTGCCTCTCAGGCGCGTGGCAATTCTTCAACGTACTGTGCGGCCTAACTGTACGGCATCCACGGTGCTGACTTTTCATCAAGTCCGTCTGCCTATAGGCGTTTTGGGTCTGAGCCGGCATGCCTTCAGCATTGCAGCTGCAGTGATACAGTGCATCGCCAGGTGGGTACCCACAGTCAAATGCGTCGAGAGTCGTCGAGCAGCGGAAGCTCCCACGACAATTTTTGACCCATATCGTGCTGTTGTCAAGGCACCCAAAGCTCCGGCCAAGTATGCACCGCGTCCGGCTCGTCTGCTCCACAAGCTCGACGGCGCAAGAGGGGCGCTTGCTTGTCGCGGTCGCCAGCCCTGCTTCCTGTCGGGCTGGCTTCCTGCGCAGGGCTGGCTTCCTGAGATAGTGTCCATCGCAGCTACATCTGTAGGAGTCTTGACCCGGAGGATAGCCGCAGAAGAAGGACGGCGACTCGGCGCCGCACCTAAATTCTCCGCGGCAGTTCTTCGTCCAAATGCTCCGGCTATCCTCGCTGCAACCGAAGGATATCCCAGGGCGGCACGGCTTCTTGCTGTGCTGGGCGACCAGGGTGGCCTCGCAGGTGCTGGCGGCGGCAGCGATCGGCACGATGCCCAGGACCACTGCGACGTTGAGAATCCGGACCACCAACGTCGCAGATGTACGCGCCGAGCGCGCTGGGCCCGACGAGGCCCGACGCGGAGCTGTCATGCTCTCGGCGTGCCGAGAGAGAGATTTTTAGAAGCCAACAAGAAATGTGCAGGATTTGGGCTCGGCAGCTTGTCGACTACCAGCCGGAGCCGGAGTCGGAACCGTAGCCGTCGGAACCGTAGATGCCGTAGGCGTAGCCGAGCACGACCAAGTCCCTCCCTCACTCCTTCGAAAGAGTCGCTCCTCGCTTGATCATCGGCTGCTGTGACCAGGTGGAGTGCCACGACCTTCCCTCCCTCACTCCTTCGAAAAATGGAGCTCGGCTAGGGTTGCGCAGCGACAGGAGCGAGTTCGCGCTGCGCTAGGCTCAGACGGCGAGTTCGCGCTGCGCTAGGCTCAGTACGGCGAGTACCGAGTTCGCGCTGTGCGGCCTGGCTCTCCTCTTGCGAAGATTTTATCTCTCGGCTGCGTTGGCTCGCCAAAGTCTTGTTGTTCTCGATGGCTGCTCGATGGCGCTGACTTGGGAGTGTGTGTTTTCGTAGAGAAGGAAACACGCACGTCGTCCGGGTTCTGTCGAGCGTGCGGGCCGCCGGGCGGTTAGGGCGGAGGCCAGGGCGCCAGGCTTGCGAGAGGGCGAGAGCTAGTGCGAGAGTTAAACACACGACACACACACGACACCACAGGGACACAGACACATTCACACACACACACACACACACACACACACACACACACACACACACACACACACACACACACACACACACACACACCCACACACACACACACATACACACACACACCCACACA